AGAAATAATAAATCTTCTCAGAATGCTTTCGACTTATCATACCATAGCATATGTCCCCTTTATGTCTTTTAATGCAACGGTCACCAACCGGTGGTCCGCCGACCACTGGTGGTCTGAAAGGTTGGCGACTGCTGTTTTAATGAACAAAAACTGCGTGTGTAGACTATATAAAAATTACTTTACTATACAAAAAAACTAGACAATCTTCCAAGGAGATGCGAAACCAAGTGGGAATCAGTGTAATAGTGTTTATTTGCCAAAGAATATTCTGGAAAGAGACCTGTATTAGAAGCCAGAAGTTTAGGGTTTCATCTGGGCTTTTGATTCCAACTACCTGCAAGATTTGGAGCAAGGCAATGCATCTGACTGTTTCTTTTAAAAATTTGGGCTAACAATTCACATCTCACCACCTGACAAATAATGATCAAATAAGAAAATGTCTTATTGTCACCAAATAGTATCAATGCTATATAGATGGTTTTAATGCTGTCTTTTCAGTTATGTAAGGAATTTAATTAGATGCCAGATATAAGGTTAAATGCTTTACAGATGTTATATCATTTAGTTCTTATAGTAGACTAGAGGTCCGGTACACGCAATTCGTGCACAGGGGATGGGGGTCCCCTCAGCCCAGCCTGCACCCTCTCCAATCTGGGACCCCTTGGGGGATGTCCGACTGCTGGTTCCCAGGGATTGGGCCTAAACCGGCAGTTGGACATCCCTCTCACAATCCAGGGCCGCTGGCTCCTAACTGCTCACCTGCCTGCCTGGTCACCTCCAACTGCCCCTCCCCACCGGCCTTGTCGCCCCCACCTACACCCCCTGCCGGCCTGGTTGCCCCCTGCAGCCTGCTGTTCAGTAGTTTGGTCATCCCTCACTAACCCCCCTGCAGGCCTTGTCACCCCACGCAGCCTGCTGTTTGGCCAGTCGTGACGGCCCCTGGCTTTTTATATATTAGGATGCCACAGGCTAGAATTTTATTTATGAGCAAATTAAACTGGCCAAGTGATCCAGGATTCAACCCAGGTCTAAACTATCTTCTAGACCAGTGATTTTTAACTGGTGTGCTACAAGAATGTTTAAAACATGCAGTACCTCACTATTCAGTCAGGGGCAATGATCTCTTTTCCTAGATTCTCAAATAAAAAAATGTCAACAGCCAACAATAGCCACCTGGTGTGAATGAATCGAAAGTATACTTTTTTTGGTCAGATCAGCAAAAAAACATACATTTTGGCGTGCCACACAATTTTAGTAATAAACATGTTCCATGAGATGTAAAAGGTTGAAAATCACTGCTTAAAACCATGCTTTCTTTCCCAAGGAGTTTGAACATCCAAACAGGGCAGGTGATCAATGAAGTATGTCTGAAACTGTCCAAGCCCTTGTTTAAAGAGATCAATCTGTAGTGGACTATACATAAGACTATGTGTTTAGTTTTCTTACAAGCAACTTATGAAGATGAACTGGAACACATTTGACCTGTATATCCTAGAATGTCTAGGCATACTGATGGGCGTGGTCTGTTGTCCCCATATGGTACTGACTGAAGTGAAAACTGCTTTGTTACAGTTTGTTAAAGATTTTGCCTGCAATTTATATTTTATCTGAGGTAGCTATTTATTGACAGAAGTTTGTTTTTTTAAAATATATTTTATTGATTTTTTACAGAGAGGTAGGGAGAGGGATAGAGAGTTAGAAACATCGATGAGAGAAACATCGATCAGATGCCTCCTGCACACCTGCTACTGGAGATGTGCCCGCAACCAAGGTACATGCCCTTGACCAGAATCGAACCTGGGACCCTTTAGTCCACAGGCTGACGCTCTATTCACTGAGCCAAACTGGTTAGGGCTATTGACAGAAGTTTTTAACAAAATATTATTTCTAATTCAAATTTAATCCAATAAAATAGCTGCCTCTCGTCTAATCCTCCTCATTCCTAAAAATTTCCACCACTTACAGAATTATTGGAGAAATTGTGAAAAACTTCCGAGAAGATGTAAACTGTACTCCATAGTCCAGTTGTTCCCAGTGAGTTAGGAGCCTTGCTCTACCCTGGTCAGGAGTTTCAAAAGGTGTTCCTTTTACAGCATGCAAAAATACATACATCCCCTGGAAAACAAACACGGGAGTGTATCATCAACAACACATACGAAAGCAGTATTTGTCAGTCGGCATTAAGATAGTGCCAGACCATTTGTGACAAAGTATAAGATTAACTTACAGCTCAAGTTTTAACCTTTCAGATTATTGTTTCCTCAGAGTACAATAAGACTTCCAGAGGCAGATAAATATCATTTGGTGAAAACCAGTGAAAAGTAAACCAAAAGTAACCTGCTTTCATCTTTTTTTAAGTTGAAAATAAACAAAAAGTATATCAGGGTAACTTTATATCATTACATTTAGATTTTCTTCTACGACCTTTCCTGTGAGGAAATAGGGTGACATTTTCCCCAATGGGCAGGAAAAGTTTATTGTGGCATATTAGTAAGTCTGATAATATTTATAAAATAAAAAGACAAATCCTATCTAATAAAAGAGAAACATGGTAATTAGCCGTACATCTGCTACCCTTCCCATTGGCTAATCAGGGCGATATGCAAATAACTGCCAGTCAAGATGGCGGCCGGCAGCCAGGCAGCTTGAAACTAACATGAGGCTTGCTTGCTTGTGACGGAGGACTCCAACGTTGCCCGCCTGCCTTGCCGGCCTCTTGAGCTGCAACTCTAAGCAACGATGTAACAAATATAGAAGCTAAACAAAACCCCAGAAACTTGCTTTCAGCCAGCTGGGATCTCAGAGCTGGAGTTGAAACAGTGTTTTGATTATAGAACCCAAACAAAGCAGATACCTACTTTCAGCAGTGGAGGCCTAAGAGCTGGAGCCAAGCCTCGCCTCCCGGCACCGGGATCAGCGTGACAGGGGGCAGCGCCCAAACCCCCTGATCGCCCTGCAGCTCTGTATGTGACAGGGGGCGGGGCCACAACCTCCCTATCCGCCCTGCTCTGTTCGTGACAGGGGAAAGCACCCCAATCCCTGATCAGCCCTGCTCTGTGCCTGATAGGGGGGAGCTCCCCAACCCCCTGATCGCCCTACGGCTATGTGTGTGACAAGGTGTGGCGCCCCAACCACCGCCCCACCCCTCCACGGGCCCTGGTCTGTGTGTGACGGGGTAGAGCCATAACCTCCCCATCGGCCCTGCCCTGAGTGTGAGAGTGTCGGTGCCCCAACCCCCTGATCGGCCCTGCTCTGTGGGTGATAGAGGGCGGCGTCCCAACCCCCTGATCCGCCCTGCTCTGTGTGTGATGGGGCAGTGCCCCAACTCCCCTATCGGCCCTACTCTGTGAGTTACAGGGGGGAGCTCCTCAACCCCCTGATGGGCCCTGCTCTGTGCGTGACGAGGTGGCACCGCCACTTCCCCATTGACCCTGCCTTGAGTGTGACAGGAGGCGGTGCTCCAACCCCCCTATCGGCCCTACCCTGAGCGTGACTGAGGGTGGCATCGCAACCTCCCAATCTGCCCTGCTCTGTGCATGAGGGGGCGGCGCCCCAACTCCCCAATCGGCCCTGCTCTGAGCCCGACCAGGGGCTGCACCTAGGGATTGGGCCTGCCCTCTGCCACCCGGGAGCAGGCCTAAGCCAGCAGGTCATTATCTCCTGAGGGGTCCCAGACTGCGAGAGGGCACAGGCCGGGCTGAGGGACCCCCCTCCAGCCCCTAGTGCACAAATTTTTGTGCACCGGGCCTCTAGTTAGTAAATAATAGTCATAAACAAAATCTCTGTATCAGAAAAAAATGGTTTTGAAAATATTTAACATTAGAACTGTCTTTGTTCCAATAGCTCTCTTCCAAAGCAACGGAGATGGTTTGATGTAGGCATAATGTTCAACTCAACTTGCTTTTAAAGTCACAACTGTGCCTCAAAAGTGTATCTTTTGAAGTTTTAAAAAATAAACAAAATATTACTAAAAGCCAATGTGTTCAGTAATATGTTGAAATATCTAATTTTGTGATTAATTAGGAAAAAAACAATGTATACTAGATTTTTTTCCTTGTGATTATGATACCCATTTATTTTTTATTTTTTTTTAATATATTTTATTGATTTTCACAGAGAGGAAGGGAGAGGGATAGAGAGTTAGAAACATCGATGAGAGAGAAACATTGATCAGCTGCCTCCTGCACACCTCCTGCTGGGTATGTTCCCGCAACCCAGGTACATGCCCTTGACCGGAATCAAACCTGGGACCTTTCAGTCCACAGGCCGACGCTCTATCCACTGAGCCAAACCGGTTTCGGCATGATACCCATTTAGATTGCTAGGTAGCACATCATTGCAGGATCCTATCTGAGGAACTGGTAACAATAAAGTCTAAATATTATCATGACAGTTTTTCCCATGAGAAGTCATAATGTGATGTCTTTTCTACTCCTACTTTTAACAAATATATGGAAAAAACACACAGAAAAATTAGTGATCTGAAATTTTACATTAGTACAGGTTAAGAGAGCCCTTATTTTCAAAGCTTAGTCTACTTCCTATTCCATTAGGCAATTCAAAAGTTGTTTAGCTGCAATAACAGCTAAGCTATATAGTAATGATCATGTTCGACTGGATTTAACGCAACATACATTAATAAGTTAAATGTATGCACCACAGGACATGCATGCATATATGAATTGAACAGACACACAGCCTGAAAAACATCAATCTTCTGAGAGATGGTTAAGGGGAAAAGATGTACAAACAACTAGAATGCAGGGCAACAACTGTACAATCAGGGCACTCGGGAGATGCAGGGGAAAAGGTTCCTTGTTGCTGAGGCAACAGGCCGATGCTATCTTGTCAACTGCCTCATCCTTGAAGGTTCAGCTCAAATGACAACTCTTTTGTGCAGCCCTCCACAACAGTAATAACCTCTTGTCTGCGTGGTTGAATTTTATTGGTAATACTTTTATTATAGCACAATACATATATTGTATTGGAGTTGTTTACATAATGTTTGTTTTCCCATTAGCCTGAATACATCCGGAACAAGGGCTGGCATACAAAGTACTAGATATGACGCCAAGATGACATTAAGCTAAGGGATGTTTATTCTGTTAGCGTAAGGGAAACATTTTCACATGGACTTTAAAGGAAAATATGAGACAGAAATTGTATGGTTTCAGATTCTTAGGAGTATGTTGTTGTCTACTCTAGACCACATAATGTGTTCGAATTATCAAGAGACGAACAATCCTGGTTTCCTCATCAGCATTTAGGATATACGTAATATTCAGTTTATTGTATATATCATTTTCAATGAAAAAGAATAAAACCTTATCTGGCCATATATCTTCTACTCTTATCATCATCATCATTATTTTAAATATATTTTATTGATTTTTACAGAGAGTAAGGGAGAGGGATAGAGTTAGAAACATCCATGAGAGAGAAACATCGATCAGCTGCCTCCTGCACACCCACTACTGGGGATGTGCCCTCAACCAAGGTACATGCCCTTGACCGGAATCGAATCCGGGATCCTTCAGTCAGCAGGCCGATGCTCTATCCACTGAGCCAAACCCATTAGGTCTACTCTACTATTTTTATTTTTAATAGTTTTTCTATGAAATTTTAGCAATTTATACCCACATCAAAAGAATTAGGGCCCTAACCAGTTTGGCTCAGTGGATAGAGCGTTGGCCTGCAGACTGAAGGATCCCAGGTTTGATTCTGGTCAGGGTTGCGGGCTTGATCCCCAGTGGGGGGCGTGCAGAAGGAAGCTGATCAATGATTCTCATCATTGATGTTTCTATCTCCCTCTCCCTTCCTCTCTCTGAAATCAATAAAAATATATTTAAAAAGAAAAGAATTAGGAAAAAATATAGCTCCTAGTTAGCCCTTAATAAATATTTACTGACTCAAAAAGAATTCTCATTCATTTTAAAAGCTAGGCAAAAAATTTGGCAAAGTATTAATACCTCTAAGGTGAACTGTAACACCGGAGAAAAACAGTCACTAAGGGGTCCACTGCAGGGTTTCAGAAAGGCAAAGACTGCATTTTCTCTAACCAGGGATACCACTTAGGTCTACTTTCCTATATTTAAAAGCATTCAGCATGTAGCTCACATGTTTAATTGTTTTAATGTAGGCTATCTTCAAAAGAAACGTAAATTTGGAGTCACATAATTGCTACAGCTATGTCTGCTCAGGTAGGTTTGTAGTGTGGTGAACTGCGTCAGCAGTTTGTTCCCTGCATGTTGTCAATTTCCTACCTTTTCCATGGCCCATATCCGTACTGTGCCTCAATCTCAGTCAACCCAACTGAAAACATGAGGGAGTAAGAGGACTCTGAAGTACATTTAATACATGTCATAGGAGAAGGAAAAACTACAGGACAACACAGACTAATTCATTCAGCAAACACTGAAATAGGTATTGGGAATACAGAAATAAAAAATAACAAAGATAAACTGCTAATTGTAAAACTATCATAAATACAAGAAAGCAGCGTGGTGTTTTGCAGCTTCCTGGCGGAGGTGATACTTGAGTAGAGTTTTCCAGAACAAGGAGGAATCAGGAAGAGCAGGAAGAAGGCAAGGCCATTAAATAGAAGAGCTTACATCAAGGCAGAAAGGTGAGAGCAAGACAATTTTCATCATTGTTACTACGTAGCTTGTGTCTGGAGATGGTCTGTAGTAAACTGAGTTCCCTTTCTTGCCTCTCCAGTTACCAAAAGGTGTTGTATCCCACAAGGGATTTAGCATTTTACTATGAATGTAACAGGGGATCACTGAAGGATTTGAACAGTGTGACTTGAGCAGACATGCATTTCAAACTATCAAGCTGGAATGGAAGAAAGAAGAGGAGCACCAAGGAGACCATTTATCTATTGCAGCGATTTTCAGCCTTTTTCATATCATGGCACACATAAGCTAATTACTAAAATTCTGCGGCACACCAAAAAATACATGTTTTGCCCATCTGACAAAAAAAAAAGTGTTCATACTACAGTCCCTTTACCCTCCACACAGCCTCAGTTTGGATGATACATTATATTAGTCTCGTTTCCTTTGTCATCCAGCTGACTGGCTTGTAAGACAGTGGTGCCTTTAGATTAGGATCAAAGTCAAAGGACTGGATTGAGGGTAGTAAGAAATAGATCAGGAATGGGCTCAATTTATACTTGTTTGGTTTAAGGTGAAAGAGATCATTCTTTTAAAAGTAGAAATTGGAACTATGGAAGGATGAGCTAACTTAGAATATATAGCATAAGAAGAGATGAAGAAAAGAACCCTGGGGAAAGAAAGCAGGAAGTACAAGAGGAAAGAAAAAAGATCAGAAATATATAGGAAAAAGCAATACCATGACCGCCAAAGGAAAAGAATTCCAATAGAAGGGATCTGATTAACGACGAATATTTCAGAGAAGTTACTATTCCAAAATGGTGTTTGCCCTACCAAAATCTGTCACTGAAAATGGACCAAATAAATGCACATCAGCATGTTTTTACCACATCACCCTTGTCCTCCTCTCATCAACTTTAAATACTCTCTAGAAATAAAATAAGTAATATTAATTTTTAAAAATCTATTCCACATTCTTCTGTCTTAATTTCCAAGGCTACATAATATGGTCAGCAGAGCTGATCAAACCTCTGATACTTTTGAGAGCTATCATATAATACAGAAGTGTGGTAGTCAACTTGAAGAAGCTAAGGCACCATAAGGTCCTGAATCACATAAAATATGATTAAGCTCAAAATGTCTATACAGAGGTAGGAAAATATACTTATAAAATTTAGAAAGACTTAAGGATTGAAACAAAAAAATATTCATTAGACTCCAATTAGCCAAAAATATATTACTTCTTCTGAAGTATTCTGGCCAATCAATATAATGTAGTAGCCTGAATTACAGTGTTTTTGAAATTTTTGCTAAAATGACCTACTATTTTCTAGATTCTAGAAAACCAATAGAAGGAAAAAAGTCTTACTTAGAAAAGGGCCCAATGTTTAAATATAAAAATATATTCCCATTCCAGACACTAAAATCACTGGGCTGTACACTTTAAATGGGTGACTTATATTATGTGAATTACATATCGTAAAACTGTTTAAAAAAACTAAATCACGTGTTCTTTATAAGAAAACTTTTAAGCTTGTTAAAAAAATTGTGTTTAAGTACAGGTAACATAAAATGTACCATATTAGTCATTTTCTAAGTGTACCGTGGAGTGGTAGAAAGTACATGCACATTGATAAGCAAACAGCTTCACCATCCATCTCCAGAACGCTGCATCTCGCCAAGTAAAAACGCTCCCGGTTAAACAGTAACTCCGCACCTGGCCTCCCCATCCCTGCCCATTAAGCCTTAGCTGCCCGCGCTCAGGATGCGGCGAGTCCTTACCAGGTTGTGTATGACATTTGTCAAGGTCCAGGCCACGGGAACGCTGAAGAAGGGGATGCTGAGCAAGACGATGTGAAGCAAGCCCACGCCCAGGGCGTACGTCAGCCATATGCCCCGGCTGTTCATGACCCGGGTGTTGGGGTTCACCTCGCTGTGGGCCACGCCAACGTTCATGTTTGCCCTGTAGGAAAGCAGTGACAGGGATCAGCACCGACACAGCTGGAACCTAAATAACCCCAATTCTGACGTGATCAAGTAAGTGTCGGTAACCAGGAGGATTCTTTTTCCTAGCTGTTCTGACACAGAACAAACACACCCTCTCGAATATGCTACTTGCAGATGCTGACAAAGGCAGTCAAGAATTCTTACCATCTGACTTGATGGTAAGACAAACAAGACTTCTTTTTGTAGTTCTTGTGGAAAAAAGAAACAGTTAAAACCCCTTTCCTAATGACAACGTGTCTTCTAGCATGCTGGTTTTACTAAATGAGATAACGGGCAGGAAAGCTCAAACTGAGAGAGAACCTACATTTTCTTACGCCATGAGAGCAAAGTGAACACTCGGGAGCTCAAATGATTAACAGAATCAATTAATACAAAGAAGCAACGCTGACCCAGCCAGTCTGCTGTCGTCAGACTCCTATCTGACGTCAGACTCCTGACGTCACGCAGTGCCCACAAAGGGCGTCAGAGTTCAAGTCACTCCGAGGAGGGCGCCGGGGAGGACAGAGCCGGTGGGCAAGCTGCCTGGTCCAGGGCTCAGGTCCAAGCAACAGCTCCTGTCAACACTGTCACTCAAGGGCAATCAGCTTCTTCCTTTCTTTTTTTTAGGTTTTTCCTTTTCCCTTTTGCGTTCAAGACGAACCCCGAAGGGTGAGCGGATCGCAGTTCCCAGTTGTTTTAACCATGATGTTTGCTTGGGCCTCAAACTCGCTTAGACAGAATAAAATTGCCCTGCAGAAGGCCCATCGCCCTGGGCGACACTGAACCGGCGGATCTGAAGACATAAACCCTTTCCGTGACAGAGCCGGCATCGAGAGGGGCTTTCTCACAAACACCCGCAAGTGTTTCCGGGGCCCACGTCCCCCGCCCCCCCAAACAGACAGACCCTATGGGAGAACGCGGGGCAGCCGGGCTCCCGCGACGACAGCGGGTGACGCCGACACGCAGCGAAGCCTCGGGTTGGCACCTGCAAGTCCCGCCCCGACCCCCCAGCACCGCAGGGTCTCTGTGGGGGGACCGACCTCGCTCCGACACCGTTCCCACTGCCCGTGTGTGCGTGTGTGTGGGGGGTGCTCCAAAGACGCCCCAAATGCCGCCTGCACTGCCGGGGCTCGGAGCCTTCCCGGGGGCTGCGGGGACGCGGGC